CCTCCTCCCCGGGGGTGCGGGGAATACAAGGGTGCGGGCTGTGCACGGAATATTTTTCGAAAATGCAATTTTCTGTGGGTTATGCATAGGTGCATGTTATAACCGTGTGCGGGATATATTTGCGAAAATACGGTAATTACGCTGGAGTATTTACAAGTACTATCCTGCTGTAAAGGTTTTTTTGTACTCTACAGCAACGTACGTGTAGACGCTACCGCAGCTGTCTGAAGCATGAGGGTGCATGTAGATGCCAGCTTGGCCCACACTGGAGCACCCTCTCACCCCAGCCAGCCCCTCTGCAGCATGTTGAGCTGTGGGGAGAGCAACCCTAGGCTGGCCCCCAGAGTCCCTGACCCAGCTCAGCGTGCTGTGGTCCCAGGCATTTTGCATTACTTGCATGTGTAGATGCACCCTAGGGGAAGGAAGAATCATGCACTCTTTCTGTAGTAAATTTTATTGTATTTTAAAGACCAGCTAGGGAGGGAATTCTCTACAATGGGCTACCTCATAAAATTCAAATCTCCTTGCACCTTTTGGTTCAATTTGAGCATAGTGGTTTTTATGTTTTCACTCCTAGGTAAGACAGGCCCATCTACTTCAAAGAGCAGGAGTGCCAAGTATGGAACATGACATATCTAGTTCACGCTATCTTATATAAGGAGTGTTCTAATAGCCGGCAGACATTAACAAGATAAAGGCACTAGAGCTCTGGCCTAATGTACTTCATCTTTTCTTTGCCTCCAGTGGCCTTACTTTCCTAATCTTTGCTTGTTTGTGTTCCTCAGTTATAACAGAAATGTCTATCTATTAATAAATAACATGTTACAATGTCGGGTTTTAATGAAAGAGTATATTCAAATTCAGCTCATCCTTGGGGCTCCTGTTGTACTGCTAGCACAGTTTTCCATACCATGAAGTTTGGGAAGCCATGGCCTAGATATGCCACTGCCTCTAGAACCCAGTTCATATACAAAGCTAGTATACAGTGCTGATAAAACATAACAGATCACCTTCTAGAGTTAGAACCAATTCAACTCATTCAAATTTTCAAGGAGCCAGCTTTCGAGTCACAAACCAAGCAAGTTGCTCATGTAAAGAGAACAAAGTAACTACTAAATACCTGAGCTATTATTGACTGAAACAGTTCCAGTTCTCAGGCCAATCTGTTTTCATTAGAAAAAAAAATGCAATTCACAACCAAAACAGTGCAAAATAGTGTTGGGAGAACTCTACAAACTTCCTTTTTTCATCTTCTACCCTTAAGCAGACTCCGTCGCATGCATTTTTTATTCCTCACTGCTTACTTGGAAACATTCTTCTCCTTTCTCCACTGTAAATGCCCATCACTTTTTGACAAGTGGATTTGTAAAGTAAGAAGGGTTTTATCTTTCATTGCCTTTAATCTCTTATAAGACCTGAAGAAAAATGCCTTGCATTTGAAAGCTTGTTGAACTTTATCCCACCCTTGCAGTTGGTCCAATAAAAGATCGCATCCACAAAAATCCTTGCCTTTCACATAATTCCTGGACCATCACAGCTACAACATCACTTTAACACCACCATCTAAGAATCACCGATGTAAATTTTGCCCCTGCCAGGGGAGACAGAAACCTCTTTTTATTCATAAATAGCACAATCATACCTCAAGAAAAAAAAGGTTATCTAAATATCTGATATAGAAACCTTTACACCAGATGTGTGCCTTTATCAGGATCAGTAGGTGAATGAACCTTTACTTTAAGCTTTCAGATTAACCCCTTTTTTATGAACCAGAAAAATGGCTAAATGTCTCCCATTTGAAAGAGAATCACTTCTATAATATGAAGCAGTATTCCTATAAAATGGAATGTGTAGTGAGTAGTTCTCAGTATAAATTTCAGGACTTCTTTGACTTCGCACCAATCCTGTGGGTAATTATCAGCAGCTGATGATGGTCAAAAGGCCAATTTCTGTCAAAGATAAGATATTCAGCTGTATGTTCATCCAGTTCATCAGCATTCTGAAGTAGATTTCACTCTTGCAGGATTTTGTCAAGGATTAATATTAATAGCACTATATCTCCAAAGGGCTTGCTTTGCAAGGAGTTTATAATCCATTCAGACAACTTTTCTGGTCAAACTTTGGCAAGTTTGCTGCTAATAGAATATAACTAAAATCCACTTACAAATACTGTTTTTACTTGAACATAAGACAACCCTGATCATAAGATGAGCGCCGAATAATTAGATTCAATTTCCCATGTGCAGAATCTAAGCATTGGAGGTCTGCCTTGAATCTGTCCCCCTTCCATTGCTACAACAAGGAAAATAAATCTGGAGGATCAGGTAGCCCCCTTGCCCTCTGTGGCAGAAAGCCACCTTTGTTTCTCCCCCAAGAACAATTGTGACAATTGTGATTAGGATGGGCCCAGCAGAGGATACATACCTTTACCCTATCTCTTTGGGTAACCTGAGCCAAATACATTCCTGAGGGAGGGGGGAAACCAGCTCCCTCTGCCTACATGACTGGCATCACATACCTGAGTAAGGGGCTTCCTTCCTGGTGGACTAGAGTCTGCCTGACAACTAGTGATGTATTTCAAATTGGTTGGCTGACAGCCAACAGGTGCTGGCCTCCATTGGACCAGGTAAATGGGTCACAAGGGCTATATAAGTTAAGGATTGCCAGGGAGGAAGGGGGAGCAGCCATGAGCAATACTCAGGAAAAACAAGCGCGCGCCCATCGGA